GACATCCAAGCCTGCACTAAAATTGGCTGTCTGATCTACCATACTGGCAACTGTGGTGCATCTGTAGCCTTGTCTTGCAGAAGTAGACAAAAGATGCAGATTTTATTGCTCGACAAGATCTTGTGAAACTACTTCTCAAACTACTACAAAACAAAGCTTCTTTTTATTAGCCCTACGTCTTCTAAAAATCGCGTTTTCATAAAACCAAACTACAACACTTCACTCCTTTTCACACAAATCCCATAAGCTAATGCCATGAAATAATATGTAACTCTCCTGCAAGCCTGAACCTCTCCGTAAGGTCATATTAATAGCTAACATGCACGTAAATTGTGTCACCTACACACACCTGTTGTTTTTTTAAAGGTTGGATATTGAATAAGACTTGGTCTGAAAAACAACTGAGAAATACAACAATCAAGGAAAACACAGGGACAACTGAAATGAAAGGCAGATTTATAAAGTAGCAAGGGGCAAAGAGCAAAGTAACAGCAACTCTCAGTTTTAAAAGAGGTGTAGAGCACTTACCTGAGAGGCAGATGCAGCGCCGTACCCCTACCCACACAATCACAATGACTGACAAAGCAAGTGGAGCACAAACTGAACCTAAGGCTAATCTGTCCTTCTCCTGATAAGGAAAATGAGATAAATATCTGTATTTAAACACATACATACATTTTAAAAAAAAAAAACAATAAACTCGCTGATTTTAGGAAATCTTCCACATCCATACATGTCTTTAAAAATTCAACCAAATCAATATTAATACATTTATTTACTCTCAGTCACAACTAAAAAGATGGGGGGGAACCTTGTAAAAGGAATAAACTGTTTTACCTAATTCATACATAAGCCGGCAGTCCAGGAACCTCTCAAGCTGAACGATAACTTCAGCAACTGCTGCAAACTCCAAGTTAAGGATAATTTCAGCACCTGCCATGAGCTACATCTCCTAATTCAAATTTCTCCTAACAAGCAAAACCACCTAAGGAGTATTAGGTACTGGTTTTCTGTACGGGACTCACCTAGATGGTGAATTAACTGTAGACATTCAATCCTTTTTCTTATTGTCTTTGAATGTTCTCGTTCCAGAATAAGGGTGTCTTGTTCCAATTTCACTTAATCCACTTAATCTGTTTGGAATAAATCTCACTCACACCACAAGCTCTAGATGGACCTGAGATACCGAGTTCTGGAATTGCATTTTAAGACCCAGTCATCTGGTTAATTATAACTTGCTTCATCGTTTGAATGAGCAATTCTTTGGACATCCAAAATTCTGTCTAGTCTGGGGAAACAAACATCCATTCCAAGGGCATCAAATACATCGACAGACTGGGTTCTCTGTAAAACCCAGCAGTTCACTGATCGCTCTTCCTAAAAGAGCTGCCAGGGTCAGAAATAAAGGAACGTGTCTGGCGTTGGGCTGGCAGTACACTTACCCAAGGAGCTGGAAGCTCGGACGGACGGACTCTCTCACATCTGGGGGATTTGAAGCGTCACCTTGCTCAGGTGGCTGCTGGTTGGATCCTGTGCTATTCTGGAGAGAGTTCACTCTGCAGCCTCCTGTTGGAAACGGCCACTGAGTGGCTGAACGTGCCAGTTTGGCCAGAAAGAAGTAAAGAGCCAGAAAGAGGAAGAAAAAGGCAGGTTGTCCTCCTTGTGGTCAACCTCAGTTGATTACCAAGCTTCCATGGAAGAGGAAATGCAGGCTGTAACTCAGTACAAGCACAGTTAGAGCTGAAACAGAAATTAAGAGCTCAGCCTCCATTTCTGTCAGGCACCCTTAACCTTCTGGCTTTGCAAGCACTCCACATCCACATTTCCTCTTTACTTACCACCCCAAAAATTAGCACTCATCCCAGCCCACTCAGCCCTTTTCCTGGTAATGTGGTTAGCAAAAGCTGCGTATGTGGAGGTGCCTGAATAGCGAGCATCCCCGCAGTAGCTACGGATTCAGTGACTGCTTGTACCCGGGGCTTCCGCCAGTGGTTTGTGTAACCACCTCCACACAGAATTCCTTTCTGCATACCACCCAAAAGCAGTTTCTCTGGTAACCACCAAACACCATCATAAATAATAAACTCTGTTTACTTGGCAGGAGTCAATACTCGAACGGTTTGAAAAACCTGTTGATCACTAGAGCTTTACGTGGTGAGTACACACTGCAGCGTGGTTATAAAAGCTGGGAGTCATCACCTCTCCTCCAGCTAAGTACTGTTATTGGGAAGCCAGGTGGAAAAGCCACTACATTCAGGAAATGAGCCCAGAGCTCTGCCTGCATTTCACAGGAGCTCTGAATCAAGCACAGATATGACTTTCATAAACTGCATCTCCTCACAAACCAAATAAGCTGCAAGACACCCTGAGCAGCACTTCAGATCCAGCACTACAGTTTGGTAACCTGAACTTTGTCATTAAAGCCCCTAGCTTTCAACAGTCAAGTACCTTGCTGGATCTAACCCTGAAAGCCATGCAAAAAACAACATAGAAAATTAAGTTAGGAATAAATATGATGCTTCAGATTTATAACCGGTCTTACTTCAGGTAGTGTCTTTCACAAGCCAGCCCCACAGAGCTGCTGTGATCTCCAGATTATCATTTCTCTTCTAGAAGTGTCTTAATTCACGTCCTCTGAACAAACTGAAGCTGTTTAAGAAAATTTGTCAAGATTTGTAAGTATACCAGACAATCGATAAAAATACAGAAGACCTACACACCTGAATAAGGTTTATGACTTCAATAAAAAGAAACACTGCATTCCTTTGGGTCAATACAGAACAGAACGACAGGAGCCATTCTTAAGCACCATTCTGCAGGTACACTTCACAATGACTGCCTCACTTGTGAGTTATTCTATGATGAACAAGCCCTGGAGATAGGCTATTATTGCTCTCCATTCGTGAATCCAAGTTTAAACAGAAAATTTACAGTTTGGGACTACAGAAAGAGATTTAACGACAGCTTAACTTCTTATCTGAAATTTGAGAGGCGCAATGGAAGTAAATATTAGCTAACAGTTATATTCCCCCTTGATTTTGTAACTTTAAAAAAAACACATCTCAAGTTGCAATTGCAGTTGAGCTACGCTTTGTGGTAATACAGGTTGTGAGGTAGATATCTTTAAAGACTTCCAATGCTTCCCCCAAAGGTTTTAACATCCTAAATAAAGTAATAAGAGACATTAGTTATAGTATAGGATTACTTGGAAAGCAACCAGTAATTACTGAATTACTGTCTGAGATGGATAACACAAGAAATTAACATTATTGCTCTTTGTAAACTTTCCCCAGTAAAAGCTGTTTTTAAAGTAGACAATTTCAAGCTCCCTTTCAGTTAATGAAGTGAACCCATTTACACGTGCAACTTTAAAAAAACAAGTCCTTGCTATTTAGTTAGTGCTTTTCAGAGACATCCTATTGCAATGTAATTACTACCATGACCAGACCAAGGGGAAAGAGAATGCCAAGATACATCCAGTCAAATCACCTTCAGCTACTAAAAGAAAAACATTTTTGCTTTTATGCTTCAGTTCAGTATAAACAAGGGTGCCATGAATAGGGTGGTACTACAACAGTAACAGCACTCCTGAGGTTATCTCATTTTACCACCTCAGCGTTACTCAGGGGAAGCCAGTGGAAATGCTACACAATTGTTGATTAGCTCCCTCACGCTAATCCCTGCTGCAGAAGATGGAGCATAGCAATCAGAAGGATATAAAATTTGCTTATAATTATTGGTGAAGAGCCGTTACCAAAACCATTCACATCTGCATACCCTTTATACTCGCACCTGAGAGACACATGGTTATCAAGTAGGGAAATTGCAATTGCACTTGTTTCAATTCAGTGAATTGTTACAGAATGAAGATTTGACTTACAAAACAGGTTAAAGTTGCTGCTATACGTGAACGAGCAGGACAAAATTCATGTGCTTACACAGAGAGACTTTGTGACTTCGAGATACAGGAAACAGGACTGAGATCTCTGTCAGTTTGGAGTCCTCATCCCAAGGCTCTGAACTACGTGCCTCATCCATAAGAATGGATAACAGCTGCCCATCTACCTCCAATCTCTTTTTTTTTTTTTAAAGTTCCATTTTTATTTATTTCTCTAAATTCCACGTTGCTCACTCTTCTTTACAATCTCTTTTTTAGTTAGCTCCAGTATACATGGTGTATATATAGCTGCTTGTAGTGCTGTGCCTTGCAAGCAGGGAGTATGTACTTGTACCTAAACCTTTCACCAGCGTGACTCCTTTCTATACAAGGTTTTTGAGTATAGCTTCAGAAAATGCACGAACCATGTGGATTCTTACAGTTTAACCTTCCATACCCTGCACTATTCATGTTTTCTTACCTTAATTGAATTCCAGGTAGGAGATGACTGTAAACACTGTCTGTCTTTGTGCATGCAACTGAAAGAAACCTCCAAACCCCTTAAAAGGAAGGAGCCAAGTAGCTGGTTCCTAAGTATTTGGTCCCTAAGTATTCAGAAAGTGAAAAGAAGTATTATCCGATTTACTTGCATCCATTAGTTTTGCAATGGTTTTCTCCATAGCTGGGCAAGTAGGGAAAAGAAAAAAAGGGCAGGGGAAGGCAGGTGGGGGTAAGAGATCTGTCCAGATTTAAAGTAATATTCAGGCATTCAGCAGCAACCACCTGAAGCTCAAAAATAAAATGTTTTTTTCCTGTATTTCAGAATAGCCTTGAAACATCACCACATGAAAAACTGACAGCCTCAAATCTGCCTCAACTACGTATTTGCAATAACTTTGCAGTGATTTAAGTGACTATATAGATTTTGTTAATAACAAAACAGCAACTTTATTTAATCTATTTAATCTACATTTTTTCTAATGCATTTAAAAACCATGGGAATTGTATAGGAAGGTTGAAGGGAAAGTCCCTCTCTATTTGTACTGCTGAGGTAGAGTTCTGCGGCTAGCCATGTCTCACCTAGCAGAATTTTAGTACTTTGGAATCCAAACACTTGACAGTTTCACGTTACATTACTTTTCAGTTCTGGGGTATGCTTTAAGTCTCCCACCTCCTTCTTCAGGACATTAAGCAAAGTTCTAGAACTATCCAAAATCTTCATGTAAGCAGTTTCAGCTTCGTTAAGAATTTTGCTAAGATCATTCCGCAAAGCTATCTTCTGGTCCAGGTTTTCAGACACATGCCCCAGTTGTTCATTCAGGGCTTGAATTTCATGCTGGAGCTTACTTTTTTCCTCTTCTGCTTGCTGAATTTGTTTGTTCAGCTCCTCTTTTTGCATACATAAGTCTTCGATGTATTTTACCAGCTCGTTATTGTAACCCTGAAGAATAGCTCCCGGCTGAGTCATCCTCCACTCCTATGCCCGAGCTCTGCCACGGCTTCCTGAGGTCCCCTTCTTGGCAACAGCCTTCTGCGCCCTAACAAAGGGAAACAAGGAGAAAATAGAAAGTTCTGTAACAGTTAGTATATATAATGTGATGATAACGCTGAGACAGGCCGAGGATACGCTGTTCAAGGTTTATACACTGTTTTTGAGGTGGGCCATGCTGTGTCCCTTGATGGAATAGGAGCAAGACAAAAGGCAGAGAGGGCTGAGCAGGGGGGCTCAACAAGCACAACCAGCAGCACCCACCAGATTTTAAGCAAAATAAGGGGAATAAGGCATCTCCCCTCGCCCACAGAACCCGAATTTACCACAACCCACCCAATCTGACCCCCCCCAGCCCCACCACCCCCCTCCCGAGCCTCCAGCGCCCCTCTCCCCGTCCCCCTGAGGGGGGATGCTGAAGCAGCGCAGCCCCCCAGGGACATCTTACAACCACCTCCTCCCCGCCGGCCGCCTCCTGGCCGCGGCCGCGCCGCGCACAAAATGGCTCCTGCCTATACATCAAGTCCCCGGGCGGAAGGGGAGGCGAGCCGGGACCTTCCCTTTCCTACCTCGCAGCCGGAGCCGGTCCTTTACGGGCGCCCCATCGCTGCCCCCCGCCGCCTCTTGCGGTCCCCTCAGCGCCGGGCTCGCCCCCTCAGCGCCGCCAACGGCCGCGCCGAGCGGGGTGGCGGAAAGAGCCGTGCGCTTCCGAAGGGTGAGGGGGGGGTGGAAAATAACCCGAGCCCTCGCTCCGGAAACGGCCGATGTTTTCCGAAGACAGGTAGCGCTCGGCAGAGGAGGGCGGGGGGAGGGAGCGGCGGAAAGAGCCGATGTTTGCCGAAGGGCGGGGAGCGGGGGGCGTGGGGCTGGGCGAAGGCAGCCGATGTTTGCCGAAGGCAGAGTCGCCCGAGAGCAAAGGGGACAGCGGGGACGGCGCGCGGCGGAAAGAGCCGAAAAGAGCCGACGTTGCCCGAGCGCGGCGGCGCCCGCGTTTCCCGGATGTAGTTGGAGGAGCGGCGGCGGCGGCGGCGGGCGGCGCAGCGGGGGGAGGAGGCGGCCGCGGCGGCTCCCACAGCGGCGGCCTCGGCGCTCCGGGGGCGTCTGAGCGGGCACGGGGCCGAGCTGCCGGCGTCTGGAGGAGGAGGAGATGGGCCCGTGAGCGCTGCTCGCAGCCCAGCCGCCCCCCCCCGCCGTGCTCTGCCTGCCTGCCCCCGGTGAGGCGGAGCGCTGCCTCCCCCTCCTCCTCCTCCCCCCTCGGCGCCCGTGGCCCGGCCGCGGCCGTCGCCTGCTGGTGCCCTCACACTCACGCACACAGGCCGGGCATTGATGGTAATGTATGCGAGGAAACAGCAGAGACTCAGTGATGGGTAAATCCCTTCCTCCTCCTCCTCCTCCTCCTCAGGCCCCCGGCCCCTCCGCCATGTTGTGGGGCCCCCCCCACCCCCCCCCCCTTTGCCCCGGGGCCGCCTCCTCCTAACGCCTCTCTCTTTTCTCTCTCTTTTCTCTCTCCATTTCTCTCTCCAGCTGTCACGACCGCAGGGGGGACTCGCAGCCCTACCAGGTACCTGCAGCGCCGGCCGCTAGGCCCGGGAGGAGGAGCAGGGGAGGGGAAGGAGGGGAAGAGGGGGGGGGGGGGGGAGCTACTCCAGCCCAGGCTTCGGCCGCCGCCGCAGGCCGCGCCGCCCCCCGGCAGCCCTGAGGGGGCCCCGGAGCGCTGAGGGGGTGGTGAGGAGCCGGGGGGAGGCTGCCCGAGGAGGGGACGGGGCTGTGGAGCGGCTGCGAGGCCGCCGGGGCCGGGCCGAGGAGGAGAGGCCTAGTGCGGGCCGGGCCGGGCTCGGGCCTAGAGGCGGGGAGGGGCGGGAGAGCGGCTCGGGGTCGGCGGCGGAGGAGCGGAGCCCCCGGGGGGAGGTGAGTGGGGGTCTCCCAAAAACAAAAGGAGGCTTGTTCCACCCCCCCGCCCCCCCTTCTTTAGCCCTTTCTTCGCCCCAAAACTGCGGCTGTGGGTTGAAACCTGAGCAGGGCTCGATTGGAGACCCTGAGTAACTTGAAGGGGGGGGGGGGTGGAATGAGGGTTAATTTCGACGGTTGCCAGCTGCTGGGCTCCTTCGCCGAACATCAGAGCCTTGAGCTGCTGGCAGTAACCTGGATTTCCGTCAGGCAGGTGCTGTATTCCTCTGTCTTGGCTATGGGGAAAAAAAAAATCGGTTCTCAGGGTGTGAATGTGGGGAATGCTGCGTGTGGTGATATTGCTCTCCTTAGGGCACATAATGGAAGTGTTTTATTACATTTCTGGGTATTTGTGCCACCATGAAGAGCAATCTGACAGTCCAGGGCAGCTGTCAGTGACAGTTCATGTAAATGTAAACACTTGCCCCTCAGAAGCTCAAGCTGCAAAATCAAGCACGTCAGAGAGAGGCAGAATATGTCATTTTTGGTAAACGTTTTAAAATTAATTTGTCAAGTTACATGTTCCCCAAATTGTCAAGTTACACGCTCCCCAAACTAGATTTTTATTACATCTGTTACCAGGTTGCTAGTACTGAAATCCACCTCACAAAAGTTTAAGGTGAAACTGAGCACCCTCGATTACAGTCTGGAGGAGATATTCAAAGTTTACACTGATTCAATGCAACTTTCTGTTTATTCTCTTAATATCAGCAGAACTTGTGCTTTTCCCAGAAGTGTCAGAAGTACTGCAGCCTATGTACTGCTGAAAGCATGCAGTCCATCACTGGAAAGATAAAGAAATTAGGTCCATCCTAACGGCAGTTGTTAACTTTGGATCATGGTGGGAGCAAATGGTTTGAGTTCTAATTACAGAACTTGTTGCTTTAATGTAGGTAATTAAAATTAGAAAGGCTAATGTTGATTAATAAATGGGAAATGAAAACTTAATTACCTTTAAAAGTATTTTGGAAAGAGGTCTAAAACTTAGATCTGATGTTAATTTTTTTCTGTGACTTTCTGTCTAATGTCAATGCCTGCTCTCTTGCGATCTTCTGTTACAGGCTCTTAAGTACTCATCCAAGAGTCACCCCGGTGGTGGTGATCACCGTCATGACAAGATGCGAGACACCACAGATCCTTCACCACCAAATAAAATGTTGCGGCGCTCTGATAGCCCTGAAAACAAATACGGTGACAACACAGGGCACAGTAAAGCAAAAAGTGTGCATACTCACAGAGTTAGAGAGAGGGATGGTGGTGAGTTATCTTTAACCTTTATTTAAGCAATTACTAATCCTCATAAGTATCAAAATTGAGCAGTTACCACTCAGGTGAAGGGAACATTGCACTAAATGGTATACCTTGATGCTTGGAAAACTACAGAGAAACCAAAATGCACGTTTCGTTGGAAGCAGTCATTTTGGCAGTATAATACCTATTGATTTTCTTATTTTTACAGGTGTAGGAGTTTCTGTTTGGATCATAAAGCTTATATAAACTTTCCTTTTTTAAATTAGTATGTCTGACTTATTTTAGACATGCAGCAACATTCAATAATGTGAAATGGTATTCTAGATTATTTTTCACTAGTGTTGCTGTCTTAGAGACTATAACATTGCTGTTTTAACATAATTTTGTGTATTGTAACGCTCTACTATGGCGTTTATCCTCTGAAACACATAACTACATAAAAAGGAAGAAAAGCTTCATATTTAGATGCTGTGTAGAATTCTTAACAATCTTAGAATGATAATCAAAGATAGTACTTAGAATCCCTCTTGGCAGAAGCTTAGAGTCAGCTCACCTGTGTTTTTACAGGACATGATAGATAGTAATAACATGCCCAGATATTTCTTAACGGATACTATTTTCTATCCCTACCACCTAGAAACAGGAAAGAATAGGATTTTCCTTTTAATAAAAGATGTAACAGCTATAGTTTAGAAAATTGTGTTTACTGACTGAATTTGGAAGCCTGTTCCCAGTTTTGTAAGTATTCTAACTTGATATGAAGAACAAATATAAAGTATTCCAGTAGAGAACTTGGAACAAAGAAGCATTGATTCAAAGTTCCATATAAAGTTAACAATCTGTGATGTACGGATATATTTATGCTGCAGGATTGTTCCTTGTTGTAATAGTTTAAGTAAAATGTCTGGAAGTCCCGTTTAGAATATACTAGTTCACTACCACAAGGATATTTATGATACCCAAGTGTTCTTATAGTTCCTAATTTTTCTCCTTTTTTGGATTAATACAGAGGCTCTGTAGACCACTGATAATGTGATACGGTTCTGTAGAAGAATTACAAAAACATACATCTTGTGTTAGTATGCTGGTTTTCATTATATTTGATCATACTTGAAGGCGTAGGAATCTCACAATCAAATGCATGTGTAAAACTGGTAGGCTGCTGTTCTGTGCTACTTTCCAAGACACAAATCGGCCTTCTCTTTCCTGTTCACCTGTCTGAAGATATTCGTCCTACATACTCTTGTAATTCTGCTGAGTTTTGCTACAATCAGTAATTTTTTTGTTTCAGTGCAGCTACGTTTGGTGGAGTTACGCATATATGAAAACATCTGGAGGCTCTATATGGGGAGCACATTTGCTTATTTGAGTACTGAAACTGTTCTTAAGGATAGGAAAGATATTCTGAAGTTCTCACTGAGTCTGGCTGGATTGAGTAGCTGGTAAATGACCTGACGTGCAGGTGTTCACAGTAATGATGGAGGAAAATGAAATATTTGTAGTTCTGTAAGTGTAAGGAACACTTAGAAACTTACTGCCCCTTCTCCTTACTAAGGCTGCAAACACAATTAAAAAAAATCCTTTATTCTGATCTGAAAGTGCTTCTGTCTACATCGTATGTTAGTAGACTAGGAGAAGGAAGTAGTCTTAAACAGTTTGAGGGAAGTTAGTAATTTTGAAACATAAGCATCTGTAATGGAACGGCTAAGTGATTTGTGTGTGTGTGTGCTGTTAATAAGGTTAGTTTGGTGCCAGTTTAAGGGTTTCAGAACATAATCAAA